TAATTTCTCGTTCTTTTTGTTTCTTTTCTTGTTTATTTTCTCGTTCTTCTTGTTTATTTTCTCTTTCTTCTTGTTTATTTTCTCGTTCTTCTTGTTTCTTTCTTTTTCCTCTAACAACTGCTGTAATCTCGCTTCTTGTTTCTTTTCTTTTTCCTCTAACAACTGCTGTAATCTCTCTTCTTGTTTAATTTCTCGTTCTTCTTGTTTCTTTTGCTGCTCTTGTATTGCAGCCATCAAGTCTGCTATGCTGTAGTTTGATTTGCCGCTTCTCGTTTCCATTTTCTTTGTCCCACTTTCTGACACTAATTTGTTACGTCTCCGTTTGTTAATTGATTTTTCCGTAACTTTGTTCCGACGAAATTTTAACGACACAAGTATTTACTTAATAAAACTGGTTTATTCTTTCCGAATATAACTTTACCGATACACTCAACTTCAACAATCGCGCTAAAACAAACGCTATATCAACGAACGTCAATAATACTTCTGAATGCAGATCAATTACACACTGTCTACACACACATTACATTCCCCTCTTTTTATATACCCAACTACCCTATATCTAGCAAACACTAGAGCATTCGCCAAAGTACAGGATAGTTCTAGAAAGTAAAGGGCGTGAGAATCACATGATCTCGATGACGCAACAGTATCATATTACTGCCACTGTAGTATCAGCATTTAAACTATACTAAAGTAAAGGTTTACTGAATATTATGTTGATATTGGTTGGTGTAAGACCTAGATCCAGAAGAGAATTTTGGCGTACAATATTGTAATACTAATAGTTGTCAAAATAATAAGTTTTGTATTAACCTTAATCGTTATGAATATTAAATATTCATACAGACTCCAAAGAGTCTGAAAATCATGTAATATTCCAATACAACAGGAAATACTAAAGTAAGGTTCATGGAATTCTCAAAATACTTTTAATGTAATCTAACCAAATGATCAACATTTTAACTTTGTAGAAGACTTTTCAGCAAACAAAAGGTCATACTGAAATATTTGCATTCATTCATTCCATCAAATACAAAACTTCATAATATTTAAAAATAAAATTTTATAAGGTTTAAAATTTGTGTGATATGGGCCTGAGTAAAGAGGGAGGAATTTGTAAATTTAAGCTCTTATAGATTTTTTTAAGGTTAGTTAATATTAGTGTTATAATTTATAGTAATTTGGGTTGAATAACACAATAATAACTATATATAATAATATTGGTAAACAAAAGTAGGACGTTCAAAGTTTTAAGTTAGAGTTTAGGGGTGTAAATTATTACAGCGTTTTAATTTAAAGTAGGTTTAGTACGTTTAACGGTACTTAGGGCTTGGGTATATTTCAACTTATTCGTAAATTGTAAAACAAGATAAATACATTGTTTTATGAAATAAATACAATCTAAAAACTAGTTTATTGTCTCTTGGTGTTTTAAAAATTAACGTGTTTACTTGAACTTAGATGTATTAGTTTAAATTCAGCTTATAATATAGGTAGGTTATAATATAAATGAGGCTAAACACAAATAAATACGTTTTATTAGTATATTGTTTTAATATATTAGTTTAGTGTGAAGAAAAGTAGTGATAAGAAAAATTATATAATTGGTTCTCAAACGTTAGGCTTAACAGTAACGGTGTTAACAATAGGCTACAGGTATTTGGTATTATTTATTTTCAGGCTATAACCGTATTAGTTTAAATACAATGGTTAAGACTAGTGTAGGAGTTAAGCGTACGCAGTTTGTTAGATGTAATGGGTGCAACGAGTGAGTTTTATCTGGAAATCGGGACTGGTGTACTTTTAACTTTAAGGTAACTAGTAATGTCTAACGAAGATGTACAATTTTTATGTAGAGTTTGCAAGTTCGAGTTAATCATGATTAAAGTAAATGCAATAGATAAAGCGAAGTGTAGATTGTGGGAAATGGCAGCAGGATTTCAGGAGTAGCTAAAGCTTTTACATGCAAGGGATACGTTAGCTAACATTGTCTTTCAGGAAGTTAGAAAGAGTACTACTAGAGTAAAAGTAGTGAATTTTGTTATAATGAGCCTATGCTCTTGAACAACAAATTTCAACCCTTGGCTTCTGCAGTTGGGGAACTAATGGAGGGAAGGAAAACAAAAGGGTCAGAGAAGAATGTGGATGATAAGGAGGTTATAGTTATAGGTGATTCCTTGATAAGGCATGTGGATAGAATAGTTGTGGAGTAAATAGGTAGAAAATAATCAGATTATGCTACCTAGGGGTACAGGCGGAGGATATAACTGACAGAGCAAAAGATATAAGAGGAGCTAATTAATAAGTACAAGAGGTTGGTAAAGGCATTTAAAGAAAAAGTTTGTCAGGGATGCTGCCCAGAATTAACTGTGGGGATGAAGTTAAAAGTTGGTAAGTAGGGCTAAATGCTAGGCTTAGTTTATCATATAAAGATCAGCAGATTGGTTGGTTGGACTAGTGGGATCAGTTCAGTGAATAAAAGGAGCTTTTTGGAATGGATGTTTTACATTTAAATAGAGTTGAGGCTGGCTTGTTTGTGAAGGCTATTAACTCAGCTGTAAGAGAAGTTTTAAATTAGGACCAGACAGTAGTGAGGGCCAGGAAAAATTGCATGCAAAAAGAATAAGAGGCAACAAAAAGTTTAGCATAGGAAATGAGTAAAGAAGTTGTTATAATATTAGGCTTAATTGTTCTTATTGTAATGCTAGAAGTATGAGAAATAAAACAGATAACTTTTGAGCACTGGTAGGAATGGAGGATTTTTATATAATGGGAATTTGAAACATGGTTAAATGTAGATGATTTTGATGAAAGAAATTTCTTTGAAATACAGGCTATTTAATAGGGATAGAGTATTAAAGAGGAGAGGGATGAGTGGCTTTATATGTAAAATGTGAGTTACATCCTGTTGAAATTGAGGATATCAAAGATAATAGCAAAGTGATTGAATCCATTTAGGTTTCTGTTAGTGGATATAAAGGGAAAAGGCTTTTAGTTGGAATTTCTTACAGACCACCAATTGATACTGATGCAATTAATGAGAGACTTTACAATGGGAATTCAGCTGTTAATGAAGTTGTTACAACAGCGGAAGTCACGTGATGCTGCTGATGAGTTTCTCGAATGATCGTGGAAGTCTGAGTGTGATCGAGATGCCCTCTTCGTTAGTATATAAGCTTGGTAGAGAAAGCCAGCAGGGTTAATGAAGAGAGAGCAGTAGTTACTTTGAGTTCCGTGTAATTTATGATTGTTAGTTTCGAGCTAGTGAGCTGTAAAGTGTGTGTTTTGCACTCGTCAAGAGCAAAGTTATTGAGATTGTGAATCGCTGTGATTTATAACGTGTATTATAATAGTTGTTAAGTTTAAAGTGACGAGAAACGTACTGATTGTAG